GGTTGTTAAGCATTCAGTTAAAATAATCTAATCTGCTAATGGCCACTCTTTGTAAAGTTGTCATGTATTTGAAAGTTCATCATAACTTTGAGAAAGCATCGTCAGAAAGGCTTTTACTTAACAACAGAATAATGGGAATACAGATGGTGTATTTTTAGTCAACTAAGTAGTTATAATTTGGAAGTCTATACAATAAGACTTAGCTTTGCAGTTAAATAAAACATTATCTCAGCACAACAGTAGGTTGAGGTTGGGGACTTTTAGTAATCACTGTTTTCCCCCTTTAATCTCACTTGCTGCCAAAAGTGGGTCAAGTTCAAAACATCTGCTCTCATTGAAGGTTGTGTTTTTACTCCTGTTGGGAATCTGAATAAATTCTATTTGATTTTATCAAGTCATGCGTCTCTGTAGTTCAGAAACACACTCTTCTAAACCCTGGAGAGTACTGGGCCTGGTTTTAGATGAGGCTGCATGCAGTTTCAGCGTGGTACTACGTACAACAACATGTTTGTGTAAAGAGTCAGAATTTTCTAAAATGGGGTATTAAAAGGGAATTATTTAGTTGCTTAACCGAAATACTCTCCTTTCTTGTACATGTTCAATGTTTATTTCAGAGGAGCAGCACTTTGGGAACCAAGTTTCTGAGTGAAATAATTCATAAAGGGAGAAATCATTAACAGGAATACATGAGGTTTACAAAATGTCATGAATTCAGACTGCATAGAAGTAAATGTATCCCTGAATTTAATGTAATTCCTTTCTATTTTAGTCATTGTAATTTATTAAATCCCTATTTCCTCAGACAAAAGCAACATCACACGCTCCAACCGAGGCGAGGCGGGAAGGATCTTCAAGAGTTCACCTCCACCAATACCCAAAGCCATCTCCTTGGACCGGACAGAAGTCTTCGCTACAGTCCTATTCACAGAGTTCCTCAAAGAACTGGCGGCCATTGCACAAGAGCACTCCATCTTATCGTACATTCCTATGGAAGAGTGATCACGTCTCAGTAGACTCTCCAAACACTTGTTTTGTTCTTTTCAGACACTACTTGATGAAGAAACCTCTTAGATCAAGTAATTTATACAGCTACTTTTGAAAAAAAAAAAAGACATTTGTAAGTGACATATTTATTTCCTAAGCAAGGATAATCAGTTTCATGTGCTTTCAGATTACTCTTATGAGTTTTGTAAAGGAGTTTGGCAGCCAAGGAGGAGGTCAAAACTTTCAGCTGGAAAGGTTATTTTTACCTGTTTTCTGAAGCATACACCAGCCTATAATGTTCACAAGAGCAAACTCAAGGTCCACCAGCCAAAGACTGTTGACATTTTTGACCTAAAAAACTTCAACCTAAGGTTTCTGGCTACCCTGAATGTTTTCTACAACCAACTCCAACCTTACCAAAACCCACTGCCCTGTTTGGTTCTCTTCAGTACTCAGGTGGCTTTCCTGGAGAGTTGATGTCTCTCTGCCATTGGATAGCAAACCACAAGTGAGCGCCTTGCAGCATCAAAATGTAATACGAAGATAGCTGGGAAAGCAGTGTTTCTTCTTATGCAACTGTTACATTACTTATTTTTATGGGCTAAACATGTTCACTTTTGTCAATGATAAAGTGGAACATTTGTTTTGGTGTTTCTCAGTTTAATCATGATGGTACCTCAGGAGTCCTTTTAATGCATGTTCTGTTCTCTCAGTTCTTAAACAGCTTTTGGGTAAAAGCAATTTTCCCACAATGCACTAGTTTCTCATCAGTGAGCTCAACGTGTCCTCCACATCAGAGCACCTTAACACAAATTATTCATGTTATATTTAATATGCCTTATTTTAGTGATGCCCTGTAGTGTACATATTGTAAGAACACTATGCAAATCAATGTTTATGGTGTAACTAAGTTTGAGTTATTGTCAGAATGGGAAGGGGTATTTAAGTTTTTTCTGAGAGTTTCTATTCTTTTTTTCAGTGAGGTAATAATAAATAAAGATAGTTGTTATGGTTCATCATCTTATATGTAGGGCTTGTGTAGGGTGTTGTTTTAGTCGTGATAAGTCTGAAATATCTTTTTGTAACTGTTACCGAGGGCAACCTGTGGGCTTTTTCTTTTATCATAGTCCAGTAGTTGCACATAGTTGTTTGTGTGATTGTTGACTCATACCAGAGAATGATTTAGGTAGAAAGCATGCCTCGACTGTCTCAATGAATGAATCAGGACAGAAATACTTTCAACATGGTGCCTGACTTATAATGTTAGCTCACAACATTGCCTGATTTATAATGGATATACACAGGAGTAGTACAGAATATCATAGCTATTTTAGCTGAAAATATATTTTTTTATTTTGAGCTTTCCTTTTTCAAAGTGTAAAGGAAAAGTCAGATAGGCAGAAACTGAATATGAACAATGTGATGTTTTGCTATTTTTTATCAGAGGAGGTTTTTTTCTATTAATTCAACTTTAAAAAAATTATAATTTACAAAATAATTGGAATATTACAATAAGGAAAAGTACATTTTTGGTAAGTTTTAATATCTTGTATTTGAAAAAGAAATGTCAAATGTTGATGTTGATTTATTTTTTGTCAGGAAAAGACCTGGAGATAATGGACTGGTTTAACTAATTCAAAAAAACAAATTATTAGCAGGGAAATAATTAGGAGGAGGAGGCTGTAAATGTACAGTTAAACTTCTTGTTTTTGAAAAATACAGTGTTCATTATGGACATCAAGTCCTGTGATAACTTCAGCTAATACGTTAGAAATTGTATCTAACATTCTTTATTTTGTTCCTTCTCAGATCCATCCAGTTTCTATGCAGGCAATCGATGATGTTAAATTGCATTTAACATAATGGTTAGGAAATGTTTATTTGTATCAATGAAGGCCATTGTCACTATTGTTGAATATGCCTTTCTATCTGGTAAAAAACTGTTCCAGAGCACTTTGACAGCTTTTTCATACAGTACTGCAGAACCATTCTGCATCCCTCAACCAGCACAGATTCAAACATACACAACAAGGTACAACAATGGTTGCTTGAGCAGCACTGTGGCCTGAAAACGGGTACTACAAACATACCAGTTTCTATCTCTGTAGGTTCTTCTTCCAAAGATTCATCCCCCTGGGACACCATTTCGCCTCAGTTTTCTATCTAAGATGTGATCAGTTTGCCGTTTGTTGCTGAAGCCTCTTGTAATAAAAACATATTCTCGTAAATGAAACTAGATGTACTACAGATTTGTAATTATTTCCATACTCTTAACTCGGAAGCTGAAACCTGCATGTTTTTCACCTTGCTAGATGTGGTTTGTTGCTGTTTGTCCTGTAAACTTGGACGTCCTCATTCAATGCGATTTCTTTCTGAACAGCGCTTCTCCCAGAGAGATTTTGCTTCAATCAATGTCTTGCTCTTTGGTGTACATGAGCTTAAATCTTAATGTCTTAATCTGCTACTCTGTCCTGTGATGTGCCCCAAGGATCTGTCTTGGGCCCTATTTTTTTCAAATGCTTCCCCCAAGTCTATGTAACGATTACATTTCGAAGAATGTCATACCACTGGTATGTTGATGACATTACATGTCTTTTAAGACTTCAGACACTGACAATAATTTGCACACTGTCTGACCGCCATGGATAAATGACAGCTTCCTTCAGATAAACACTGATAAAGCCGAGGTCCTTCTTATTGCATCCCGTAGCATTTCTTCCAGTGTTGGTAAGTGTATTGGATCCCTGTCTTCCTTGAAAGCAAATTTAAAAAATTTTTTGATCAGCATATTAAATCAGTGACCCATTCTTGTTTCCTTTCCTTAAGAAATAGCCAAACTGAACTATTTTGTCTTACAGGCTCAGTTAGAGATGATTATTCCTGCTTTTAAATTGTAATTCCCTTTTCACCTAGCTAAGTAAGTCCTCCCTTAACGGACTAGAATTGATTAAAAATGCTGCTTCAAAACTATTGACTGGGTCCAGCAGGTCAACTCACAGTACTCCAATATTATTTCCCCTACACTGGTTTTTGATCAATTTCAGAGTTCACTTTAAGATCCTTGTTTTGTTTATAAAGCCCTGCATGAGCAGGCACCTCGTTATAACCTGTTCTACCCTCTACCCCTATATATCCCCAGTAGATCCCTAAGGTCTTCTTATTGTCCCTTGGGTCCATCTGAAAACTGAAGGTGAGTGTGCCTTTGTATTTGTGGCTCTAACAATTTGAAACACTCTTCCATTGTGATTATGTTCGGCAGCATCCTTTGATGCGTTTAAAAGGAGCTTAAGACACCTTTTTAAATTGGCTTTTGACCATCTGATGTAATTTGTACAATTGTGTTGGGTTTATTATAATTTGTTGTTGTTATTATAATCATAATATTTCTTTATGAAGCAGTTTGTGACCCTCTTCTGTGAAAGGTGCTATACTAACTAAACTTTACTTACTGTGAGTGGGTGCTGAAAATATTGCCAATTACTAACTCTCAAAACAAGGCTTACTGGCAATTATAATTGGAAAATACTGAAAGATTAGGACATCAAACAATTAGCATAAAAATTGTGCAAAATATCTGAAACCAGAAAAAACCCTTGTCAATGCAACACCATGTAGTACAGGTGTAATGGCAGCCTTCAACCACCAGAGGGCGCTCATTGATTGCTCTGCTGCCTGAATGTCTAAATAGGAAACAGGGTTTGTGTTGCCTGTCTTGATAAGAGAGCATTATGTCAAATCAGCAATTTCCTCTTCTGGGATTTCCAGGCCTTATGAATGACCATAATAGCCAATAAGGCAGAGGACAATGGATTATAAATCTATATCTAAACGGCTATAATGAATCACAAGCAAGAAATCATTCTTGACTTCCATATTTTGTTTTTTTAAAGAATTAGAATGTATTTTTTTCCGCCTGACACATAAGGCCCTTCATACCTTATTTACATGTATTTACTGTTTCTGAATGACTTTTCTCCTCCCAAAAAAAGGTAGTGATACAAAACTGCCATTTGGTATTCATCTTAAAAGCTTTATTACTTTTCAAACACAAACATAAAGTTCTTTTTTCAGTACTTACAAAAAGGTCAACCTCTCAAAAGTACATCTTCAGCTTGACCATCAATAGTTTCCTCTTCACACAGAAGACCACTTACTTCAATATGACATGGACTTAAGTTATATAAAACGTTACTTTCACATAGTTAGTCTTTCATAAAGTTCACAAATGCCATAATTTGGCTCCCGCAGAACAGTCTAACCTTCATGAAGTCTTCTCCTGTAACATTTTTCTCACTATAACCGGGTCAGCTCGGCCTTTGGTCTCTTTCTGAACCAGTCCCATCAGCTTGTTCAGAACCTTCTTGTTTCCATTCCTGATGGCCTGAACCTACAGAAAGGCGCAGCAGACACAGTCAGACAAACCCGGCAAAACAAAACAAACAATGTACTTCCACATGAGAACTGTTATGTTAACCCTCACCTCATCAGGATGTGAGTTCACCACCTCCTGGCAGATACTTTGCAGCTGTGATGTGTCACTAACAAGACCTAAGTCCTGCTCATGGATGATCTGCGAGGCCGTCTTACCTGATGAAACCCACATCTCCTGAAACACCTGAGAAAACCAGGAAGTAAAACGTGAGAACTGAATGCACACAAGCCTTAGCTGGGCTGTTTGTTTTGAGTGATGGATAGAAGGGGATGATTGTATGGTCTGTGCAGCTGTCTGACCTGCTTGGCAACCGAAGAGGAGATGTGTCCTGTTTCCATGAGCTCCAGCAGCTCAGACAGGGCAGAGGGAGAGACGGGGCTGTAATCAGATGAAAAGGGAATTTAATTACACTTTAATAGATGTAATGAAGAATTACGGATATAAACGGAGGAGGGGAGGAGAGGAGAGGGAAGGAGTGGGAGTGTCAGGCTGCAATTTGAAAATTGCCTATGATATCTTTGTCTCTCTGTCGTCTTGTTTATTCTCCAGGCTACCAGAAGCACAGAATCAAAGAGCCTGTCAGAATATATTAAAAAGAGACAGTTTCATTCACTGTACTGCAGGGCAAACAGCCTGTCTCAGTTCAATCTTCACCAAACATGGCATAGTCATTCAGAGAAAGCACGTAGATGAAGAGTATCCATCTTTACAAACACAACTCAGTTTGTCCAGCTGTTAATGTGCCTAATAAAGGATTGATTCTCAACTAGGGGTAACTGAACCTGAGGGGGTATTTTTGCAGTTACCATGGGTAACAAGACAACTGAACTCAGACAAAGTTATGATTCTACTTATAAACTTATGAAGGGCACCTTTCCATACACACTCTCTTTATCATGAAAGATGGAAATCACAACACTCTTTCTCCGTACATTGTTTAATTTCCTGTTCCCAAAGGTTTAACTTTTGACATAGCTTGAAGTTATTAACTTAAATAATAATTACTGTTTGAACAACTTTCATTTTCTACATCTGGTAAAGTTTCAGTAAAAAAAACAACGACCTAAAAGTCGTAATTATCTTCTTAAAGCTCCTGTGAGGATTGTCAGTTTGGTTGATTTTGGCGCCCCCCCCTTTGTGGACAAACAGATTCCATTAATATCTTGCTCATCTTATCCAGTAAATGTGTCAGTATTGCCTTTTTAACAAAAGAGGTTATCGTTCTGTTTTCAACAGACAAACAGGTCACTCATCGTAAATCTTTATTAAGGAAAACGTACAAACCGGCTGTTTTGGCAGCGTGTTGTTAAATGTCTCATCTGACACCTAAAATTAACCATTTAACATTAACAAATATGTTGTTGCTGATGGTTCCATTGCTTTTGTAGGTCATATAGAGACATTGGTATTAATTTCAGACTTTTTCATAACCAGCTTAAAACTCCTCGAGGGAGCTTTAAAGAAAAGTAATAAACGGTTTAAATGACCGACTAATATCTGGTTGTAGGGATGTTTGAAGCTAAAGATCACACGTTTCATGGTTAAGTTAGGTTAAAGTGGTAAAGTAAGCTTAAAGGTGTGAATGAAGATTATTTTCACAACATGTCAAGGGGTTTGACCTCTGACTTCTTGACCTATATACCTTTGAAGTTCTATTTTTTAAGTGATGCATTAGCTATGAGCATGAGAGGCAAAAAGAGGGTTAGACATGTAACACAGAAGAGACAAAGATTTGAACAAAAACACAAACATGCATCCTCCAGAAAACATTTCAATATCTTTGACTTAATACAATAAAAAATATACAAAATGACATTTCTCAGTCATTCTGTATCTCCTCTGCCTGCTGCTTTTGACAGTCCTGCCGACCACTTGTTGTTTTTCTTTAACTCTCCTCATTTCAACCAGAGCGACTGCAACATGCTGCATAAATAAACACAAGCCACTCTGTGGTTTACTCACACACACAAATAAATGTTTTCAACAGTCTGGGAATGAAAGATAAAGTAAAGCTCACAGCATGTGCGCTGACGTCAGTATACACTGGTTTCATCTTTATTTGCTCTAGAACGACTCACAGACAATTATTCCAAGAAACTAAAATTTTCTATAACAACAGTGTTGCTCTGAACTGAACAAAAATGGAAAATATTAGTTCAAATTTTCCCAATCTGAACGATCAACAATTTATAAGTTGCCGAGTTGGACTCTACAAGCTGAAGTTAAGTTTCTAAAGCTGTGATCTTTGTAGAGAGCTTAAGTTCAAGCTTCAGACACATTTGAGCAGCTCTTTTTATTAAGCTGCAGTCACTAATCAACTGAATTTTAAATAAAATTACTTTAAAGAATTGAGTTGAATAAGTCTCTGATATTTAACCTCACAGTGTGCGGTAAACAGAAACAGTTCGAGATAACTGAGTTATTTTTTCGTAGCCGTTGGCTGGATAAACATCTGAATACTTCTGAAGCTTGAGTGAGAAAGGTACCATGACAGCTCCCCCCCCATCACCCCTCAAATATATAAAAGGAAACTTTCATTCAATTTCATGAGTGTTTTTGAACATTTACAAAACACACCATGTTCCAGCTAACAGCGGAGAAAAATCAAAACAACACCTTCTTCTAAAAAATGATGATTCCACAAATGTAATTGGATTTGTCAAAAACAGGCTTTTACTCTGAAGGGCTGTCAGACTGTTGCAGAGGTTTTGTCTGAAAATAAGGAATTATAGGAAGACTTATGAACCCACACTTTATCGCTGTATAGCGTGTGAAGAGGTCATCTGTAGTTATTAATACAAAGAATCTAATAAGGCTTTATGCTGATCAATCAAATGTGTAACATCCAAAGCTGTTCTTAGATATTTGATCTCATTCATGTGGATATGTCAGCATATTTTAGGGGGCTTTTTATGCCTCTTTTCTAGAAATAGGACAGAGCCAGATACTGAGCAGAGAGAGAGAGAGTGGGGAAAGGAGCCACAGGTCAGATTTGAACCCGGGCCGCCCGATGGAGGACCAAAACTTCTGTACGTGAGGCGTGAACCAACCACAAGGTCACCAGCATCCAATGTTGTCATATTTTAGCAAAGGTATTTAACTTGACAATATAAAATGTTATTATGATAATTTTTCCGTACAGGGAAAGGCTTGTATTTGTGGCTTAAGGCTCTGCGAAAACCTTTTCTGGTAACAAAAAGAACAGTTTAATTACCTTTTATAGATTTTACAGGCATCTCTTACTGAGCACCGGCTGTTGTTAATGGTTTCCAGGTTGTAAAAAGTAGGAACCCCAAAATTAAATCCATTTTTTTTTTTTAAACTGACATTTTGATGCTTGTTGCCCTGCGAGTTTTAATGTCACATCAGAAGATAGCAAACATATTATTTTGTGTAACTTTGATAAATAAAACTCATTCAGACTCATTTTTAATTCAAATTGAAGCCAGTTTGGGTATACAACATAATACAAAATCTATAGAACTGACCACATTCATGAAAAGTCCAAGAAAACATCAATTCTTTTTAATCAATAATATTTCATCAACACTAGAAAAAAAGTGTGTACTTAGATCAGCTAGAACTAAAGTCACTCTAGCAGCAGCTGCATGAATGCTTCATTCAAAGGAAGGGGAGTGAGGTAGAGAAGTTGACTTGATGTACTACGTTACAGAAAAACATTGAGTTGCAGAGGAGAAATGATCCTAGCTGCAGTATGGAACGTGATAACATAACATTCAACGAGACAAAAATGTTTGTTAAAACCACGATTTATTAATCACTTTATTGAAAGCTCTTGTTAGCAAATCCCCTGCAGCAGTTCATGTTTATGCCATGCCATAATATCCCCTTCTTTTGGCCGCTGAGTCAATTTCATCAGCCTGACTCCAACTTCACTGAAGCCTGCGTGCCAATGATGCACGCTGCCAGCACTCCCTCCACTTCCCCGTACTCCTCCATATGTTCTAAGGTTTCTGTGCTTCTTATTTGACTATGATTTAATGTTCATGCATGTGTTTATCAGGTTGGTCTAAGATCTCCCCGAGGAAATCGTCTTGCCGTTGGGATTGTTTTTTGAAAAGCTGCAAGCTAAATCTAAAAAACAGCAAAGCTTTGCAAGCCAATCTCTGTACAACCAACCATCTGCTCTAAATGGTTAAATCCCTGAGGTGAGTGTCTCAGACTTGAGCTTGGCAAATAAAGATAAAAAACTATAGAGCTTCACTTTTTATGAAAGTTTTGTTATACTGTTTTACAGACAGTGAAGAGCTAATGAGGACATGAGGGGGAGAGAGATGAAGAGGACGGTACCTGGCCAGAAGTTGGGTGTTGTTGCTCATGGTCAGCACCTTTAATCAAGCTGCAACTAAACAGGGCTGAAGATGTAGCCAACATGCTAAAACTGCCAAGAGCTCAACTTCAGGCTCAAAAAGTTAATTAAACAGCCTGCTCCAAAAACAAAACAGTTTAGACCTCTTTTGCATGTATCCTTTCATGACAACTGTACATACAGAGATGCAACTTTTTTTTTTTAATAACCCACTTATCTAAATTGTATTTTGGGTTACATTAATGTATAATTAAAGGGCTGCAGTCACAGATGCTAGCTGTGTAAGTGTTCTCTCAATTAATAACATTTAATTTGTGTATTTAGAGATAGGACAGTGGATAGAGTCAGAAATTGGGGAGAGAGAGAGAGAGAGTGGGGAATGACATGCGGGAAAGGAGCCACAGGTGAATTTGAACCCGGGCTGCCCGCTTTAAGGACTATAGCCTCGGTACATGTGGTGCACGCACTCTTTAACCCCTTAGCAGTTAAGGCAAAACAGAAGTCCTGAACTTAAATACTAGGTTGCTTTATTTATCAGAGGATGCCATTGGGCTGAAAACCTTTTCACTATTTGACCAAAAAAAAAAAAAAAAATGACCTTCCAATAAAGCCTTCTCCCCATGGGTGACTTTTCCTCCACCTGCCACAACTGAAACCACATTTCAGAAAAAGCATTCAAAGGAACAAAGAAAGCAAAGCTCAGAGCAGTCATGTGCCGGGGCTCAAGACCTGAGCCTTTGCAGCAGAATGGTGCTGCACTCTGGGGCTGTGGTGGCATTATGTGAACGAAAAATAATAAATATCTGAAAAAATATCTGTGTGTCTCACCTCTGGTTCACGCTCATGTCTTTTTGTTTGAGGTGACCCAACAGCTCATTTGTCACCCAGCCAATAACCTTCCTCGGCTCCTTGTTGGTTGCCTTCAGCACCGCCTCAAAGTACTCCACCAACCCGTCCTCATTCTGCAACAAAAAACACTTTAAATAAACTTATGATTGCTCTGCTTGTATATTATCTAATTAAGATAATGTCAGCCCAGCAGAGTCCAGCAGTACACAGCTGCCTGCTGAACCGCTCCCAAGTCCTGTTTGGACTGGATCAGATGGCAATTAAAAGAGAAAGATGCAGGAAACAGACTTTAGAGAGGAAATACACTTTTCTCTCTGTCTGCTTTTTGCTTCCACCCACTTAAACTCACCACCAGAGTGAAGCTGTGCTCGGGCAGGATGCCGTACGTCTCCACCAGCCTGTCTCTTTTGACGCTGGGTAGCTCTGGCAGTCGTTCTCTTATCTTCTGCACCACTACCGCCTGGCTCGCATCAACGCCAGTGGGCAGCGATGCGTTATCCTCGTACACAATCAGAGGGGGCAGGTTGGGCTCAGGCATAAACCTGAAAAAAAGGAAGGTGAGGGGGGGTTTATCAGCAGTGCAGGTAAGGTTAGGTTGGCTTTTGTCTGGTACCAATAGTCCTCTATAATTTAATCATTTGAATTTATCAACCTTAATCAATTTCCCTCCTTAAAATCAAATACACACACACACAAACACACTAACGGAGGTCCAGAGCTCGAGTGGCATCTCTTTATTTTTCACCATCTCGTCGCCACTCATAGGCTCTTCTTTTAAGGAAGGACACAATCTCCTTCTCATGTCTGAATTTCACGTCAAAGACACCAGACTTTCCTTGACAACATAAGCACAGATAATTCCTCAGAGCCTCAATCCCACACTCACCTGTAGTCCTGAAGACCCTCTTTGTCCCTCATAGGAATGGTCTCCCTGGGCACAAATATGTTAAAATCATGAGAAGAGATCAAGATTCTGATTTAAAAGCAATCGTGTGAAATGTTTCAAAAACTAAAAAAAAACATGCAAGGAGGAAAAGAGAACAACAGAAATCCCACAGCACTTTCTTTTCAAAAACTCTGAATGGATTTATTTTCATTGCTATTTAGACCTTAAAATTCCCTTCAATGTGCATGACATCAAGCCTTCATTGGGAAGTCAAAAATCCTTTTTTAGACTTCCTGAGGAAGGCTTCAATCCAAAGAGCATTTATACCCATCAGAAGTCCAGGAGGCGCTCCTTCCTGTGTTTCTTGATTTCCACATTTAAGAAGCATTTATCTGGAGGAACTGCAGTTAAATACGTGATGTGATTAACACAGGTAATCAATATCTTGATCAACGGAACATCAATTAGCAACATAATAAGTTCAGAGTGTAGACAATTTTCATGCAAAATACCAAGGGTGAGTGTTTTCTGCAATAGTAAATTTAAATTTCTTCGGTTATAGGACCGTTGGTAAAACAAAACAGACTTTTTAATTTGTCAACGAACATATGACAAATTGCAATGGGCATATTATGATGTTTTTGGAGATGTGAAAATAATCAGCAGATCAACAAATACAGAAGAGGCCCACTAGTTGCTGTTCATCTGTTGCATTACAGCTGATCACAAATGAATTCATCACGTTGGAAACAAAAACAGATTGGTAGCTACCTTCACTGGGATGGGAACAGACTTTTTAAATGGGATGGAAAAGAAAAAGCCAATCATATGCTTCAGGGTCTTTTCTCGGACATGCGAGTCCTCATGGGAAGGAGGCAAAGCACAAGAGGATGTTTACGGCCTCAGCTGTGTGCGAGCCGCCTCAGCTTGCGAGCTCATAAAGCCTGTGAGTAACACACCGCTCACAGATAACACAGGCTGACAGCAGCATCCAAATGGCTCTATTCATCATGATTACTATGATGGTTCCTCCTCAGCAAAGCGCGGGACTAATGAAGCAGGCAGAGATCCCAAGCAGAGCAGGTTGTTGTAACTGAAGCCTGGCATCATGTGGCCTAGGCTCTGTCATCCTCTTACCCTGATTTGGAGTCATACGCCCTGGTCTCATTTTGCACAGTCCCCCCTCGCTGCACGACATCGATCTGTCTCTTGATTTCGTAGTCTGGTGATGGAAAAGACAAAATGAACACAAATACAGACGCTTTATTCAATACCTGCAGTGCGCACAGATATAATTTTGTTTGTTAAATGCCAAACATCTGCTGTGATTCACTGGCAGTCCTCAGGTCTCTGACTACTGCCACGTTATAACTGTGATAAACGATGTGTTTCTGCACGACTTTTAAATACCAATTCAGCAGCAGTAAATGTGTTACAACTTTATTGAGAAATAATTCAAGCACAGTGCCACTATATGTCAAGGGGTGCTTGAAAACCTGCATGTGAAATCCTGAGGTTTCCTGCTGGCTGAGGCTCTTAATCCGCGTTCTAAGTGAAGCTCAATCAACAGTCAGTGAAAGCTGAGTCGACATAAAATCTATGATTTTTTTAAGTGAGTAGCTGCGAGAAGCCAATTGAGCCCCACCTGCTGCTTTAATGCAGCTACAATGTTCCTGACTGGTTGTCAGTCTTTAACTGATGCTTCACAAGTTTTTGACAACAACTGTCATTATGCTTTCTTTCTTTTCAATAGAACACAAATTATAGCTTAAAGCTTAAAAGCGAGACCAATTTCAGTTTTTGTTGCACTTGGCAGAAAGAATATTGAAGAAGTGTGTGGATGAATGTGTTTATTTCGTTCTCTTTTTAAATGTTTAGTCGTTAGTAGTGTTGTTGTCAAGACCACTCTAACTGAGACCAGAGTGCTCCGAGTACAAGACAAGACGAAGACATTTAGGGATCTAGACAGAGTCAAGCCCAAGACCAAGAGACAATAAATATCAATGAAAAATCATCATCATGTTTGCAGTGGCTGTGTCACTCACTGAGACCATACCACCAGAATATTTGCAGCCGTAACCGGGGAATAAAAATCATATTATGAATTCATTGAAGTTAGTTGTTCTTTTAGAAAGAAGTGTTGTCCTTCTTATCACAGTAATGAAGTTAAAATGGCCTAGTCTTGATTTAAAATCCGGAGTCCGCCCTGTCCGACACCGAGTAAAAATGCTTTGGATTCCGAGACGAGACCTTCAAGAGGTTGTCTTGAGACCAAGACCGATTTCGAGTACTACAACACTAGTCATTGGAACAACTACTTAGATCTTTAATTGACAAAAGGTAGCTAAATATCTCCTTGAGGTTCATTACAAGTAAAAGTTTTGTATTGAAATTATAATTACTAAATAGTTTTTTTTACCAAAAGCCCATACAAACATTATATTTGACTATTTTCTTCAAGTATTTAAGTAAAAGTACTGGTAAAGCATTAATAGGTTAAATACAGTATATAACAGTGTTATAATAATAAAGATTATGATTATTGTTTTTGCATGACAGACTGTTGTAGACTGTCAAGGTGGAGCTCATTAAAAACATTTTCTTCTACTGCTGATAAGTTCAGTCTCTCACAGTGATTCATATTTTAATAGCTAATCATATTTTCTGTATTTGAAATCATCAGTGAAATCTGAAAAATAACAAGTGGGATTCAATCTTTAAAATCTGACTCTCAATAATAAAGCAATAAGAACATCGGTATGTCCCAAGATGTCAATTTTTCTGTTCGTAAATTACCTCAGTAAATGAACCTACCTAGCTGTATTTTACCACAGAAAATCTCTTGTTCATACATTCTTCCAGACTTGTAGCACTTCAGATTGAACAGTGGTCAAGCTACCCTCCCGCTATCCGTCTGTTAACCTAATATCATATGGTGCTTACCTATAGCTCTGGCCAGGTACCGGACACTGTTGATGTTCTTCACCTCGGCTCTGATCCCCAGAGGCTCGCCTGGTTTGTGGACGGACACGTTGGCATCTACTCTCAGCTGTCCCTCTGTGGGGGAAGGTAAGACGATTTCTGAATTGGAAATAAGCTTGGGGTGGTACAGGTATAGCAGCTCAGTCCAGGTTAAAAAAAGAAAAGGACGGCAGAGAGATAGAGACAGTGATGAGTGATATCCATACCTGACATGTTGCCTTGACAGGTGCCCAGAGCCTGCAGGATGAGCTGAAGCTCTCTGACAGCTGCAGCAGCCTCCTCTCCACAGCTCATGTCTGGCTCCATCACCAGCTCCATTAGGCCTACACCTGACGCATGTGAAGACATCTGTGTTTAACATCTCTGAGGTATATACTCGACAGAGTTATGTCGCAAACCTCAAGAGAATTTATACATTTAAATCTAAAGACACCGCTTCCCTGCCAGTATTTAAATAGAAAGCTGGTTTGAATCAATTCCTTTTATATTTATGAACAAGATTCCACAGATTAAAACATTTTTATAGAGTCTGTTGAAACTTCTCCTCTTGCTATTGTCTCTGGCACTCATCCATTCGTTAAAGATAGAGATTAAACTAAAACATTGGTTATATATTTACTGTATTTAAAGAATGCTCAAACAGTAGTAATTCATTTATTAAGGACTATTATATGCTGCACAGATTGTCTGATGTTAAACCAGTGCAAAATATCCGTCTCATTTATGTTACAGAGGAATAAGCCTCATGCATACCATTCTTTCTGTATTTTTGTTCATTGATTTAACCATTACAAAAATAAGGAATATTCATGGACTTAAATCTTAGGGCACAGCCTGATCCTCTCCAACATTACCTGCTCTGTTCAGGTCTATAAGTGTCTGGCTGCGGAGCTCATCGTGGAGACTCTTGCCGCTGTCCTGCTCCAGCTGGATCTGTATGATGTTCACAGTTTTTCTGATCATCTGGCTCCTCTTTTTCCCTCCGAGGAGGCTGTAAGTCAGCGTGCCGTCTCTTGCAATGGGCTGCCGCTGCTGAGTGATCTGGTACCCAGCCTGAAATCACACAAAAAAAAAGAAAAGAAAAAGAAACATCAGCTTGATATGAGGGAATTCTGTGCTGTAAGACTCTATGCAGCAGGGTGGAGCAGTAATTGGGGATATCATGCTGCACTGGTATGCAAATTTTAAAAAAATCCAGCTACTATAGAAATCAAGAAGAAATATACAATAGCATTTTGTAAGCTTTTGAAAAATCTGTTGAGAGCTGATAAACATCTGGTTTATTTTGTTTAAGACCGCTAGGTAATATTGCCTGAAACCAACATGTTGACACAGAGTGCAGATTATGTTGGCCTTCAATATGTATATTTTATTCTAATTAAATTGATTATTACTGTTAATGTTTATTTGAATGAATGGGCATATTTTAGAGTCGTCTGGTAGTTTTTAGATGCCATTGCATGCTATAGTACAAGTAGTAGTTTTAAGGTACATAATACTAGGGATTCGGGTCGTTAAGTGTCTTTGTCAATTCATTCAGCACTTTTAGTAAGCGGGGCTAAATGATCCCTCATGTTATGTCAACAGAAAGAACTTCACCAAAATATGCAGGATAACGATGTTACTTTCTGGAGTCTAACATTTAAATTCTATTTCGGTGACATACCAGTGATGAATATGCTGCAGTCAGTGCCATGAGTCTATGTGTAAAAGGTCAGAGAGGCAGCATCAATTAAGCCCGGTGCTTCCTGATTGGCTGCGCCGTCATTACAATGCAGAAGCAGGAGTGCTGCTGCTGCTGCTGCTGCCATTTCACTCAAGGTTTTCTCCTCGCTTAAACCATGGGAATAAATATTTCACTTGCTGCTCAGTTTTCTTTTTTTCCCTTTCTAAAAGAATCTGCTGCCCTGAGTATTAATTCAACACGTTACTATGGCAACCACACCACAAGAACCACACATTCATCATACTTATGCTAAAGAGAGTGTGGGAGAAAGGGAGTCGCTGGCTTTCTATCTCAATGTGTCTGATGTACACAATCAAGATTCCCTCCTTTAAAAGCAGACATAACAGACTATTGGGGATTTTTTTTCTTCTTTTTTTTCCCTGTTCTTTATGGTGGATGTCATCTTTAAATCTGCCGGATTTTGTTAGAACTGTTGCAGCTTTTTGAAAAATCCCCAGATTCTTACTTACTGCTTCCATCTTTTCCTGAGCTTTGTCTCAGCGGTTGTCAATATTGCCTCTGCTGCTGCCTGAAGCTGTGATACTGTACATCAGGGAGCATGTGTATAAGGGAAGATTACTTGCATTTCCTGCTTAATAAATCAATTCTGGTTGCTACATTACACAGGGGGAGGCAAGTGTGATGTTAATAAGGTCTTGGTAGCCACATTAAGTTCCCTGATTACACCCTTAAAGCAGATTGAGCAGCCCTAATGAGCAGTCATATCCAAAGTTACTGATGCATGCCTGCTCATATACTGTACCTACAGGATAGAACACAAACACACACACTCATAAACTTGTTTCCATTTTGTGTGAGCTGCTGAGTCATTTTTCGGAATATTTTCAAAGTCTCTAAACAAACCAGCCTCCGTTGGTCACCTCATTACTTGCTTCCGCACGTAGATCTTCTTCTCAGCTTCCCACACAGGTCACAAAAACATCCATTCAAACTCTCATTAAAACACATGTCAGAGCTTCACAAGCCAAGGCCCCATGTGTTCATTTGTAGACTTAATATCTAAAGGAAATTGTAATGATTTGCTTTAGCTGGTTTGATAGTGTGGAGCTGTTGAGGCGTGTTATTAAAAGGCTGTTAAAACTCTGTATACAGTATGTGTCTCCATTGAAAGAAGGGCCGCTGTTTGGGCGGCGACATTAATCATTTAATGAGCAACCGCAGTGTTTTACAAAATGCAATCAGGGATTTCGAGCGGAGCATATCAATAATGTAGAACACAATTTACAAATGTATTTTTCAAGGGCGGGATCATTTCTGCCTCATTCCTGCATCAGGTTTGAATATCATGAGCATGGATTACACCCAAACTTTGGGTCAAGATTGTAAAAATAAAATAATTACCATCATCTTTAAAGGCAACTCTGACATCAGCCTATCAAGCTACTAGTCAAAACAACACAGGGCTGATGACAGAAATACAAACTAAATGTGTATCAGCCATGCAACGGAAGTTAATTTGAAAAATCTGATACAGGTTCAGACTCAACCTGCTGTCAGGTGATGTTCAGAAATCTCTGAAAAAAAGGTGTAATCCGCTATTATCCTCCCTGCTGTGTGTCAACTCCTCAGAATTATTCCGGAGGAGGTGATGCAATCTTGGGTAAACACACAATAGAGTGAGAGAAACTCTACAGTAATCTCTGCACTTCTGGAGGGGATTTTTTTTTTTTTTTTCTCCGCAATTCCAAGAGACATGGACCTCCTGGGGTGAGAAAATGTATCCCTACCATGGGGATTAAAGTATGTCAGGCTGCATCTTTGTGATAACCAGTAAGTCTGTGAATTAATAAACAACATGTAAAAAAAAAAAAAAAAACTTCATCTATCACGATCTGCAGAAAACTGTGTTGCTCCATCGGCTTTATCAACGACCTCTCACAATAAACTCACGTTGGCGGCAACATTAAAGGAGAAACTGAGCAAACAAATCAAAGGCAGACAGGATTTATATCAGTGCAATACAGTGATACAAACAGCGCCATAGAAATACCTGCTGAACTTATTTTCCTTGTATTACTTGCTAATACTTCATGAGAGCGCTCTCATTTGGACAGTTTCTACGAATACTACCAAAAGAAAAGTCAATCTCTCTCTCCAGTTCTTCACTCCACTGTTATCCACCTTATTACCTTGTCCCCAAAAGCTGTTTCCCCCAGAGTTTGAAAATTAACAATGCTTAATTCTCTAACATGTTTTTTTTTTTTCCATGAATTTTCTTGACTCATGAGAGGAGCTCTCCGGAGGAAAAAGTGGCTGCAGAGTTATAATGACATTTTCATTCTCCTTCTAAGCCTGAAAATGTCACTCATAATGGCAGTAAAATTACCCCGAGGCTCTGAGCAGTGGCAAAACCTGTCTTTGCAAGAAGCCCATTACAGAGAACAAAAGTGAACATCACTTTGGGAAGCCTGTTAAATGGAAATATCAGTATTCAACAGAACTTTTGTCGGAATAGCCAAGACCTCTTCCTTAACAGCCTGTTACGTGGCTCATCTTTCATATTGTTTCATACATACAGAAAGTACTAACCACTCAGTCCCATATCATGAGGACTGATATTTCATTCCCCAAACACCCTGTTTACAAACATGTCTGTTCTGATTCTTGAGTCTTAAACTAAAATTTCGAAACAGCAAAAAGAGGATTTTTAAAAGCTGGAATAAATCTTTCTTTGACACAAGAGCAAAGGGCTGCATGATCAATCGTAAAAAAGAAATCACGATTTCGATAGATGCATATATATGCGTTTTAAATTTTTGTCTTTAAGGTTTATTTTGGGGCTTTTTATGCTTTTATTTAGATATAGGACAGTGGATAGAGTCAGAAATCGGGGAAAGAGAGAGCTGGAAACAACATACCGAAAAGGAGCCACAGGTCGGATTTGAACCCATGCCGCCCGCATGGAGGACCACAGCCTCTGCACCCGCGATCTCATTTTTTAAATGATGGCGATTCACTTGCTCGTATTTCCCTATGCATTTAGAACAATTCACCTGTTCACTTATTTGCTTCCCAACTATCCCGGTTACTTCATCAGTTACACTCACACAGCGTAAAGCAGAACACACATTTAATCCATGAATCATGTCATAGACTAGCCTCTGATTCTGCCTTGTTTACTTTAAGTACTCTACAATAAGTAAGGTGAAGAGATGTACTTTCAGGAGACTTTCAGTTGAAGTCCAATTTTTTATTATACACTGGGTTACAAAGCTCTAGACAGCACATGTTTTCATTTGAGTGCAAGAAATGTTTTTGTGGGAAAACAAAAATAAAAACCAATCGAATAAATATGAACATAATTTAGTTCAACCCTGCTTCAAATTACAAAAAAAGCAGCACCTACCCTGAGAAAGAGATTTAACTGAGGTCAATTAATGGCTGAAGATCTGAGTCATCTCATTAAAACATTTTCCACTATTTTAATTTCATATCATGGGAGACAGTTTATAATCAAATTGACCATGCACAGAACTGTTTAGAAAAACACAACCTGGAGTTTTTTATGACCTCGATAATTATCTAAAGTATGGGCAGAAAATAAATCTTAATCCAAGTAATCAGTCAAAGTACAGAGAAAGGAAATGGTCTGTGGATAATGTAAAAATAGAGGTGCAGTGGGGGAAATAAGCTGAGTGAGTGAAAACACATTGGTCATTTTCTTTAACAGCTTTCAGTGTTATTTGTCTGTATGTTCAGCAAAAAAGGTTTTTTTTGCTGCTTCAGCTAGAGTAGCTCACAATTTCAATTAGAGCTTATGGCCGGGTGAGTTCACCGGTAGTTTTGGAATGTACAAGCTGGAGGAAGCTTCTATCAAAGCGAAAGCACTGAAGCAGCATGATGTGCAGGACAATAGTGTCTCTATACTGCAGTTTGTAAGATAAGGTAACCCCCCCCGGCCCCACTACTGCCTGCCCTGTCACTCCAACACCTATTCAACTCACAGAAAAGTGAAAACAAGGACAGAAAAACTCACTGGGAGGTCGGCGTAGAAGTAGTGCTTTCTGTCAAAAACGGACTTCTTGTTAATGGTGCAGTTAAGAGCCAATCCTGTCATCACGGCTGCCTCGACACATCGCTTGTTCAGGACCTAGAGACACACAGGGAACATTACACGATGACCTGACAAGAAAGCAATCCCAAAGAAAACGGGTTAACTTTGTTGGAAGTAGGTTAGACAACACTTACGGGTAATGTGCCAGGTAAGGATGCATCAAAGAATGACACCAGGGAGTTTGGAGGTGCTGAGAAGCGAACCTGTGAGCCGGAGAATAGCTTGGTGTTGGAGTTAATCTGGGCATGGATTTCCAGGCCTACAACTCCCACCAGCTGCTGGGGAGCACTGAAGCAGAGAGGAGCAAGATAGGGCCAGAAAATCAGCGAGAAAAGTAGCAGTGTAGCATGGAAAAGGAAAATACTTGTTTCTCTCTGCCTGGCTACACACTCCAGATCTAAGCAGGCTATGAGTATGTGTGTTCAGTGTTCACACTTTTAAAGTGGCAAAGTAAGTCCACTGAAGAGAGTCAGTGTGAGTACTAAATACTTGCTCTATGTGGACACTGTTGTATAAAGCAAAACAGTTTAAAGAAGGAAATAAAAAAACAGTTGCTTAGGATTAGAACAAATTGCAATGCTGGTGAGAAACCTCCAGAGCCATTCATTTTTTATAAACACATTTTTGTTTCTCTTTTTAAACAAACTACTGTCTTAGTTACTTTGTCATTTAATTACATAATTGTATCATTTACCATAATTATACATAGTGGATAAAACGTATTTTGGTTTGAAAAACCACTGGTTCAATTTAGACGTAAGGTTTAACTTGGAATGAACCCTTAAAGGACACAGTAACTCACATATTGTTTCAATGGGTACTGCAGTCCAAATTCAAAACATTGGCGATGCGCTCTCAGGTTGCCATGTCATGGACACGGAAGCTTCAGTGTTTAGCCAGCTCTGCAGCCGTCTTGAAACCTTTCTGCATTCTTACCTATCTCCATTTTTCAAAAAGCATCTCAAGTATTTATCCTAATTTATCCCGTTTCTTGTTAGGTCGGGTAGTTTCAGTAATATCTGAACTAGTTTGCTTGCCCTCTTCCATCACTGCAACATCTGTTGGTTTTCTGTCATAACTGATCTCATATCTGGCAAACCGAGGGACGTCCAAAACAGTGTGGGGGTGCCTTAAATCTTCCGTATTAGTCAAAACAAATACAGACCATTCTGGACCAGAAACTGGCAGCAGCATTGTTGTCAGAGAAGCCAGCACTTCAACATTAACTTTATTAAAAAGAAATTGTAACTCCATAAATCTTGTACATTAAATGTATGGTGCTGTCTATGGTGTCCTGCTTAGTGTGTGAAAACAGATCTCTTCAGAGTCCATTACTGAGGCTGTTTGAGGGCTTGACACTAGAAAAATAATCTCAACAATGGCCTGATTAACCGCATTCTTGCTGTGTAACAATTTGACGTAGATGGACGTATATGCAATATATATATTTTATTTACAAGTTCGATTTTTTGGCCTTTTTGTCTTTGTTAGATATGAAAGCTGACGAGAGGCAGGAAATGTTGTGAGAAGAGAGCGGGTATGACATGTAGCAAAGGTCCAAGGTCAGAGTTGAAACCACGTCCGCTGCGATGAGGACTATAGCCTCTGTACATGGGGTTCAAATAATAACCGCTAGGCTATCTGGCACCCCGTATTTTTGCAAAATTAAAGCCTCATCTATCTAGTCTTAAAACTAGATGCTAATTTAACGGTTCCATAGAAGTCATAATTTTTATATATTGCTTTACAGATGCATCTCTTGTGCCCAGTAAAGTTACATTCAAACACGTTAAATATATAAACAATGGACAGATAATACATCTTTTTGGATGGTCCCTGGGGGACAGCTCAACAGAGAAGGGCTTTGAGGACTACACATTTCCAACACAATGCTTTTAAACTTGAGGCTTGGAGTTTAAAGGACATAAAATGTATTATCTTGCAAGAATGGAGAGAATAAATATGTACATCAGATATGTGTGTTGGAGGTCTAAATACTCATAAAAGGAGAGGATTGTAACTACTTGGGAAAAACAAACAAAAAGATGCTACAGTAATAAATGATAGAAAACCAAGTATTCAGTGTTTTTGGAACTTCATCAATATTTGGGACTAATATAGGCCACTCTATAGCACAACATCTATAATTCTAATGTCTTCACTGATCATAAAATAATCTGTTGATACCCAGTGAATAAGGTAATGGGGAAACAGGTGTGATTTGGATAACAGACTTCCACAGACGTGCTCAAAACGTGGCGAACCATAAAGACACTTCAGCTTTAATTCAGGGGGTTTTTAAGCTTGGCCAAACTCAACAATTTGACCAAAACATGATGTACTAGAGCTTACATAGCCTACAAGTTCGTATAGCAGTGGGACAGGTTTGGGCTATCACAAAACAAACAGCAGGTTCACATACCTCTCCGCTCTCCGCTGCGGCTGACTGTAGCATCTTGAGCTTGTTGTGCTAATTCCTCTAATTGCACACGAGGCTTTTGGATACAATGTTGATATTTGTTTATTGATATTATGTAGCAGCTCACTTGCTGCCACTGAGGGGGCAGCCATGTTGAAATGTTCTGATGGACATGGGAGTTGTAGTTTTTTTAAAGAAACATTTGATATCTACTTTAAGTCGCCCGGGTCTCCGAATAGAACTACAACTACCAATCTTACTGAGATCCCGGTTTCCGTCATAACCTGCATCATTTCCGTTCGGACGACTGGCGGGACTTCTCCACATGTTAGTTGTTGAGCAGATTGTTTACAGGCCGTGAGAGCTTTTTTTGTACTGACATTGCTACTAAAACACACACACACACACACACAACATGATGGCTACAAACGGAAATGGAGCTCCTGCATTAAACGGTGACGTGAAATCGGCGTCTTCAAACGGTATCAGCGACGCTTTTGCAATGAAGAAACACTGTGGGTCGGTCAATGGGGCCGCAGCCGAGGACTCGTGTCACTCCAAGCAGCAGGACGGAGAAGACAAGACGGCTGACCGGTTCACTTTCAGCGCCGAGCCCACGGTCGAGGACATCCGGCGAATGCAAGCGGAGTTTACGGACGAGCGGGACTGGAACCAGTTCCACCAGCCCCGCAACCTGCTGCTGGCCATGGTCGGAGAAGTGGGCGAGGTGTCGGAGCTCTTCCAGTGGCGTGGGGAGGTGGCGGAGGGCCTGCCGGACTGGACCGACTCGGAGCGGGAGCACCTGGCGCACGAGCTGAGCGACGTGTTGATCTACCTGGTGGAGCTCGCGGAGAAGTGTCGCGTGGATCTCCCGCAAGCTGTGCTACGTAAAATGGCCTTGAATCGATTGAAATATCCCGCCAGCAAGGTGCACGGATCGGCCAAAAAGTACACCGAATACGAGGACTGAGTGTGTGTGTGTGTGTGTGTGTGTGCGTGTGTGTGTGTGTGTGGAGGCAGGGATGTTACAGAGAGACTCTGGTTGGACCTGCTGTTTACTGAACACTTAAGGTTCAAATGCCTTTTTCCTCGGTTGACTTGTTGCGTGACTATCTGAATGCTTTTAGTTTGGTGTGTTCCTTCTGATACATTTGCTAGTCCTAGACCAGGGTTGGGCAACTGGCGGCCCAGGGGCCACATGCGGCCCCCATCAACCCTCAATGTGGCCCTCCAGGTCAATTTTGACATAATTGGAAACATGAAGAAAAGATGACAAAATCTGCCATGAAATAGTGAAAACCAGAAGTATGTCCATGATAATATTTGATCACTGGTATGTGTTGAGTTATATTTGAGACATAATTGACTGTAATCGTTTTTGTATTCTACAATTTGGCCCCCTGGCAGTGAGAGTTAAATGAATGTGGCCCTCGCTGTGACCGAAGTTGCCCACCCCTGCCCTAGACGATATGTCGGCTTTTATTGAGGGTAACTTTTAAAATTGTACTTTTAGTCTGATCATTGATAATCCTGAGGGGAAACTGCACAATATGCTGCCCTGGTAGCCCACCTCCTCTGCCTTCGAGGGTATTTGGAAGAATATATTTTTTACATTTTAAAAAGTTTGAGCTTGATTACATTTTCGAAGCGTGGATAAGTGAGTTTGTTGGTTTGAAGCAAGATGATTAATGATCCACACCATCCCTTGGTGAAGTGGAAATATTCATTATTTTGTCATTTACCTTTTGTTCATTTGTCTTCATTCACCATTAGGTTTCGATAAACTTGTCCTCAATTTTGTTTACTGCTCACACATTTTTCCCAAAGTAAATGCTGCTTTGATTCTTCATGAGTGTCTTTTTTTTTTTTTTTACTTTGTCAGCTGTTAAACTATGTTTGTGATGGGATCAGTAGTCTGAAGGTAAACCCAAGAACCTTCAAGAACTTCACACCTTTTCAGTAGTTAGATAAATGTTCTGCTAATACAATAGTCCTAAATAAAATCCCACTCTTACGACGGTAAAGACTTCCATTTATGGTTGACTCTTTTTCAGACGTGTGTATACTCAGTTTTGATTATTTGGAGACTGTAGTCTTTGGAAACAGATCGACATTCAAAAACATCTCCCACACTACAAATCAGTGGCCAGAGTTAAATGTAATAGTAGATCATAATTAACTGAATAACAATGAACTGCATTTCTGCTGTGTTTTTACTCAACGGCCTTGGACTGGAGTTATGACACTCATAACCCGCTTTCACAAACATACACACACACTTCATGAAATCATTTCTGGGATTCATTGTTTTGCTGAAGGACACATTTAAGAGCTGGGGATTGAACCATCTAACCTTGCAAATTTAGAGCCCTACCCATTCCACATCCTAAACCCGCGGAGAGTTGATGTAATAGTTTACTTAGAGCTCCTAACCCTCTTACTTAAATCAGCAGGGAGAGAGTGATGGCAAAGTAAGGAGGATTTTGAGCTGGCTCGCCCAAAAATGTCCCACTTGGAATTAAAATTTTGATAGATCTTTGAGCAAAGGCACTAAATTGCATAACAAATTGGTAAAACACATCTTTGTGTGTTTGTGCACAAGGATTAGAGAGTCCTTCAGTGTAACAGCGATTAAAACGTCGGTCTGATCTTTCATTTGATGCGTTGGGAGACACAAACATTGCCCTCAGCTTTACACTCTGGTATTCACTCAGAAGCGTGAGTCATCCACAGGCTGCGGAAGAGGACGGTCATGCATCACTAAAATGTTGCTCTGTGCGCAAGTGGAGCCTCACATGAAAGTAAACAGCTTTCACTTAAAAAGATATGACATGGCGTGCCACATTAAGGATGAGCAATTGTCCACTTTCTTGGTGTTTACCCAAAAAACAACGAAGTCTCTTCTGGCACTGTAATGTGTGAATACATCACTTTGATTTGAAGCTCTGTGTTGTATGAAAAACAAAGTAAGCTCTTCATGGAGTTGAATAAACCCCAAGAAAGTAGCCTGACAACATCTTTCAAGATCATAAATCTTCAGCTCTGACATTACCCTCTACCCCCCAGGCAATACATGCTCTTAAGCAGAGAATGAAATCCTTTTAGAGTCATTCATAAAATAGCCAGCCAATCATTGCTTTGTGGTTTGAGTTTTGGAATGCATAGTCAAACAAATACAAAGCTATATAACATGAAATATAGAGGAAGTTTATAGGTGCTTTCTCAATATGTAGACCTGTTTTAGTGGAGTAGTAGCAACCTACAACTACACAGCAAATCAAAATCAAAAATCCTGCTTGCGTCATTGTTTTTTTCTACATTTAAAAAAACGTTTTATTTTTCATAATGGAACTTGAGGAGTGTCACACGTTTCCACATCAGTCAAATGTACGATAAGACCTTGTAATCCCTGAACTCAGCTCTGAACTAAATCAAAAGGGTAAACATAAAATCTACGTTTGTTTTGATAAGATATCTGCATGCTGCACACACATAAGGCCAGGTGTTAAGAAAAGTTTGCCTTTTGTTGCACAAGGCCGATATTTTTTTTTAAACTCACACTGTCTTTATCTGCCCACTGAAGCTGTGAAGTAATTCTATTAGGAGAATCTGTCTTCATGTTTCCTTACGCTGCAGTAATGGGGATGCTAAGAAATCCTCTTTAAGAGTCTTTAAGACTTCAAGCACACTTAAGAGCTAATATGTAATGTTGGATTCACTGATGGTGAGTGTACTTCATGACTGCAGCCTACCTGCTTAGAGGAGTCGTCTTACTATAGCTAGATTAGGCATGTCTTGAAAATGCTTTATGTGTACAGCAACGTAATCTGGGTTTTTTCCCAGAGTGCTTGGACTGTTCAAAACCAACAACAACTTGAAGGTGGGAAATAGATGCATACATGCTATATTACAGTGCAGGCTTAACGCTTACTGCTTGTTCATTTATCAATACAATTTGAACCTTTACAGTTGTTAAAAACTCGAGCTCAAAGTTAGCTGACGAGGCGTTTGATGTCTTCATCCCTCATGTTTGAATGTTAGGGAGAGAATCTAAGGTAAAACAGCGCTGAGGGTTTAATTACAGTGAAGTGTTTTGATTAGATTAAATATCAGAGCAGGAATATTCACCTTACTTTTAAAAAGGCCATGTTAAAAAAAAAAAGAAGATGTTTCAAGAGGCTGGACACTTTTATTTTCTTTGTTGGATCTGGTAATTGAAATGTGTTAACAATGCACTTTTGTGATCTCAGAAGAATGTTGTTAGGTTTGAATGAATCCAATGCTGCTATTTTATTTAGTGTTACCTTTTTATTCAGTTTAACTCTTCTAAATCTCACCTGCTTATAAACATCCTGGGTAAAAACATCGGAATAAGAGTTGCATTTCTGTGCTTAACAGATACAAATCTCATGAATGGTGATAACAACTTCCAAAATAAATGATCCAGTTATGGCTGTGTCAACATCTTGAGAGGTATTAATAAGACAAACCCTTGTTGATCCCCCATGGGGGTAATTTAGTTGTTTATTTACAATTATGATTTTTATGTTCTTTTTCCAATAATTACTTGTTTCTCTATAATATAATTAAAGATTGATTTTGTCAGAGGACAGCTTTTGTGCTGCTTCTTGATGAGGTCTTTTTAAAATATAGTTTCTTCTTTAGTGTTCAGCCCGTTGATACCATCAAGCCTATCGTTGCTTATTTATCATCATCATCATCATCATCATGCTCACACAGATAATCTTTAAACTTTAAATCTTTTTCACTTGACTTCAGTCAATTTGCATACACACACACACACACACACACACACACACACACACACACACACACACACACACACACACACAGATGCTCTTTGATCCTGTAGTCTTATAGCAGTTGGAGCTGTCAGATCTCACACAGTGGGTCACCCAGCTTCAGAAGTTCACATAACATCACATCCCACACATACAAATACACATACACGCCGTTTACACAAACACACACACAGACTCTTTCATACTGGACCATTGCGAATTTCTATATAGGCATGATTTCTTCCTTTTGTGTGATGCTGACGGAGACAATGACAATACTCCAAACTGATCCATTCTGAACGTCAGCAATACAGCAGTTGTCTTTCTTTTATTAAATGTGTCAGCAAGTCAAACTCTCTGCCAACAGTTAAACATTATCTCTTCATGGTGTGCAATCAATTCAACCCTTGTTGTTCACAATAAGGGATTTTAGTAACAGACAATTT